TAATATAATTACATTTCATTAACTGTAACATTAATCCAAGATATAGTCAAACAAGATATTAATTAATATCATAGACTTTAATAAGTCAAAACAGAATTCCAGAGATTTTTCTGAACTAATTAAATGGTTGAGATGTAAACAGAGTCATTCAGAGGGTTTTGGTGTGAAATAGTTCAGATCTCTTCACAGTGGTGGTGATAGGAACCAGGCGACGCCATGACTACAACACAAATATAGACATTTTATTTACTATCCAAAACCAGCAGTGAACCTAAACGAGTCTTCTGAGTTTTATATGGTATGTTGATGATGAAAAAGGGATAAGTATGGAAAAATGTTTTCTTTAGGGACTATTTTGCCTCACAACACCCTGCGTGTGCCTCTCCACCATTTTTTATTTATATTGCACCTTTTATACACTGAAATGCAGCTCAAAGTGCTTTACATACAGCTTAGAGAGAACAGAAGGTTTTTAAAAGTTAAAAAATAAAATCTAAAAATGAACAATTCAAAATATACAAATAAAAATCAGAAAATAATGAAACAGATAATAAAATAAATGACTATATCAATACAATAAAACTAGAACTCACAATGTGATAAATAACTACATAAAATTAGAGGAAAGCTAAAGTAAACAGATGTGTTTTAAGCTGCTTTTTAAAACTGCTAAGGATGCTTGTCGTATGTCAGGAGTCGGCAACCCAAATGTTAAGAAGAGCCGTTTCGTCATGTTTCAACAAAAATCAAAACACCTTGGGAGCCACAACATTTTATGGCCATTTTATTTAAGTAAAGTTTTACCATCTTGGCTGTAAATATGTCTCAGTAGTAATATAGGTTAAAAATATAATATTTAAAAAACGCAGACCGACTTTGCTCTGCTTTAAGCTTTAGCTCAGCAACAGCCGCTTTTCTCACATCTCTCACAGGAGATTCTTGTTCGAATTTTCCCATTCCACCTTAAATGGTGCCTGAGCCGCCAGTGTAGCTAGCTAACAGTGTAGGTAACTGTTGCATCATTTAAGGTGGAATCCTTCAGCCTCGTGAGTTTTTAGTGGCAGTTTCTCGTTGCAGATTAAACGTATCAGGAAACAAGCTGGAGTGATTTTAAACACAAATAAGTCCATTCGTCTCCAAATTATCGATGTTTGTATTAAATCTTTCATCTAAAACCATTTTGTTAGCTACTAGCTAGGCAAGACTGTTGTCTATGTGCCAGTTAAAGGGTGAATCAGCTCAGATCAGCAGAGCTTTATTTTACTGCAAAGGAGGATTTTTTTATTTTTACCTAAAAATCGAATTCTGCTGTGGAGCCACAACAGGGCAGTAAAAGAGCTGCATGGGGCTCCGGAGCCGTTTGTTGCCGACCCCTGTTGTATGTGTCGTAGGATTGAGTTCCACAGTTTTGGAGCGTCTAGGCTAAGCTAATTGCCTCCTCACCACTCCTTTGTGTTTAGTTCTAGTTCTGCTGTCTTTGATGATCTTAGGCATCATTGTTGAGCAAGTTCAGTTAAACAATCTGATGTAGCCCATTAATGAGCTTGAAAACAAATAAAAGAACTTTGAAATGTATTCTGACCTTAACAACAGAAGCAAACGAAACACAGAACTGTGCTGAACCACATCACTATATTCAGACTATTGTTAATACACTTTGCAATATATCATAATCTGCTAATGTAATGACACTTTCACAACACACTGTAGCCTGTAAATACTGCTGCTAGTCCTAGTTATGACTACACTCACTGTGTATTAAACTACCTCACATCATTCTACCTCACACTTAGGGCTGAACGATTTGGGGAAAATATCTAATCTCGGTTTTTCCAACTAATATTGCGATTGAAATTTAAATTGCGATTTTTTTCTATAAATTGAGATTCAGGCCTGATTTATTTTGGCCAAGAACAGCAGAATGTCCACCTTTTCTGTCTTGAGGCTCGACCCCTGAACGTACTGTGCCAAACCGCCAGTAAGTTGTGGTTGTGATGTCACAACCCATGGACGTTTGGTGGCCTCTGATTGGTCTAACTCATCCACAGGCAGCTCATAAGCTCTTATTAGGTGCAGCTTCCCCTCTTAAAACTGTCTGTTTTTGCTATTGTGCTCACTTAAAGATGGTTCTTCAAGGGTTCTTTAGTAAGAATAATGGTTCTGTATAGAACCATAAACACTCAATAGATGGTTCTATAGAGCACCTTTTTGAAAATGGTTTTATTTTAGCACCAAAATCTTCTATTGTTGCAAGATTGATGTTGTAAACAACAGAAGAACCCTTTTTGGTGCTATATAGAACCATATACAACACATTCTTCATCAATCTGAAGAACCATTTCACCATGCAGAGAACCATTTAAGCATATAAATGGGTCTTTGAGTGTTCATGGTTCTATATAATATGACTGTCTTTACTGAAGAACCATCTTTTCTTGGGGAACCTTAAAGAACTCTCTTTTTTAAGAGTGTAGGTTGTGTGATTTCCATCTACAAACGAAACTTTCAGCCCTATTCATACTTGCTCTCATGTAAATGCAATAAATCTGTCTTGTATGCTTATATAAATATGGTCATACATGTACATCAAACCCAAGGCCCCTGGGCCAGATCAGGCCCACAAAAGTATTTTAGTTTTCTATTATTATTAGCCCGTTTCACAACGCGCTGCACTACAGTCCCCAGCATGCACTGCAATGTAATGTGTGCTCTGAGTCTCCTACCCACAACAACAATCTGTATGACACCTCAATTCTATACAATTTCAAACTAGTCATATCACCAAACACACCAGCTGCATTTCAGCTGCAGTTCAACCAACAAAAACACTTAAAGTCAGCTTAGCAGCTCAGAAATTGAGCCTAAGAGCCTAAGAGTCTAGTTCAAGCAAATTGGTAGGTTTAAGAGACTGAGCTCCTCGGGACATTTAAATTTGGAATATTCTAAGTAATATTTAAGTCCACTACAAGTGCTTATATTTTGCTGTTGCATATTATGAATAAACAATGGCCAGTTTGGGTTATTATTTGGGATAGCGTTTATTAAAAATGATTAGTTGAGTTGAGTTTTAATAGAGTGTTAATAGATTCTCTCACTTCTTACTCCAATTTATGTCTATTTTTATTTCTGCCAAATACATCGCTGCTGTCAGAACAAAACGTCATATCTCAAAATGGTAACTTTACAGGAGAAGGAAAAAACCTACTTCACTTTTAATGTGAGTCAACGAAACCAGACTTTTTTCCAAGTCATTTTGGGTCATTTATTTTGGTCTATTCATCATCAAATTCACATACAATGTAAAGGGCAGCAGGCATTTTCAAATTATGTCAAAAGCTGAAAAGATACGAGGTTTTGTTTTCCGACGACAGCAATGTTTATGTCTTACTACTATGACGTTTCAATTTCTTTCAGGATCAAGAAAGTTCATTCTTTAGTCTCTACATGTTCATTCTTTGTGTTTAGGATCAGTGTTTAAATGTTTCATGCCTTCCTGAATCTTATTTGAAAACTAAAAAACAATATCTCAGGCATCAGGTAATATATTTATACCCTTTTTGTGTAATAACTTTCTGTGAACAAGCTTTTAGAAGTGGACGTCTGGTTCCTATCACCACCACTGTGAACAATCCTGACTCTGTTTGTCTAGAGTGGACACATCCAACCACTCTGGGTGCCTTTGTTTATATATGAACCATTCATTTATGTAAAACTTTGCTAAATCGGTGGAGTTTCCCATCATGCAAAACACACTACAATAAACACTTAGTAAGAAATGCAGCGGGATGTTATTGCTCAGATTATACTTCAGACGATATTTCTGCATGTGTGCAATGAGACTACGCTGAATGTTGACAGCAGCAGTGAAATCCAGAGGTGGGCTGTATGTAGTTTAGCTCTAATCTGTTCCATCTTCTGAAGTAGCACCTCTCGCCTTTGAGCCTAAGCATTTTATTTTACACCAGAGCAGAACATAATAACATAATTGAATACTTCAGTTCCTAAACTGATAGCAAGAAACTCCCCAGCAGTTCAATATAGTTGGACCTCATACTTATTACTTAAGTTGTATTTGGTAGCTTCATGTAGTTTATTATATAATTAAAGTAATACTGTTGCTTGAGTGTAGTTCCAGGCTACTTTAACCCACACCTGGTGAGAAATGCACAACCAATAATCAGAAGCAGTTTTCTATTCTTCTGTAAAATACTGAATTAAAGGGGAACTCCATCCATTTAGCAAAATTACTTAATCATTCATTGGTCTAGATGTAAACAAAATTATTTAGAGCGGTTTCGTGTGAAATGCGCCTTTCTAGAGAAATTTACAGAGTCAGAGTTGGTCACCATTATGGTACTAGGAACCAGACGTCCGATGCTCTTGATGCCTCTAAGCGCTACAAAGTTATTACACAAAACGGTTATAAATACGTTGCTTGATACCGGAGACATTGTGATAGTTTTGTTATAAAGTTTTGGCCTAAAAGGTATTTTTAGTATAAAGTTTTACTTCAGGATCACGTCTGTATTTCCTGTCAAAACCGCATTTCATCTGAGATCAATGCACGAGCTAATATGCATTTGTAGTTACTAGCCTGTAGCTACAGCTAACGCCGGTGTTGTATCCGATTCAGTTCCCCCTCAAATTCACATTCCCTTTAACAAATCAGATCCATGGACGCATTCACTGAACAGATAACAGTGCCAAGCCACACTGGAACTACAGAAAGCGAAGGTTTGTATGGCGGCTGTATTCATCCAATCTGTGACGAACAGTACAAAAAGTATTTATCAGTATGATTATTTACGGTGTACTCGAATTGAAAATAATATTTATCATGGAATTTTAATTATGCTGTGTTATCTTGGGTGAGTTTATATTGGGTGAGAACACGCGGCCACTCAATCTTTTTTTGATCTTAGTTCTGGTGCTGCTTGGCATTGTTTTCTGTTCAGTGAATGCGCCGCGCCCAAGGACCTGAGTTACCAAAGGGAACATATAAAACATTATAAGACTCATGTGAATTCAATGGTCATTCTGAATAGCAGATAAAATGGTGATTTTGTGGTGTTGACATATGGACATCTGGTTCCTAGTACTATAATGGTGAACAATTTTGACTCTGAAAATTTCTCAAGGAAAAGGGCAAAACTCACATTAAACCACTCTGCATGATTTTGTTTACATCTAAAAGGTGATTTAAAAAAAAATGAGTAAGTAATTTCGCAAAATCGGTGGAGTTCCCCTTTAAGCTGGCGGATCTGACATGAGTATCATGAGTAAAGTGAACCCAAAGGACCTTACTGGCACACATACATGCACACTTCAGTACTCTGTGTTGTACACTGACAGATAATTGGTACGTGTGACATGCAGTTCCCATGGGAACTGATTGACGGGTCTTTTGACCTTTGACCCCTGGCTTTTGCTCTGTCTGACCATCAGAGTCACGTCCTCGTCATCCAAGATCCGCACCAGATCTCCTTCAGGGTCACGGTAGTTTAGTGCGATGTCCTCTATCTGAAAGACCTCTCTGAGAGAGCGAGAGAGAGAGAGAGAGAGAGAGAGAGAGAGAGAGAGAGAGAGAGAGAAGCAAGAGTGATTATTTATTATTATACATAATTAACACATCAAAAATATGTCTGTTATGACATTTTCAATGATATCAAAACACTTAATGAAGATACATGCATAAATGGTTCTATTAAGACGCCACTACTCTACAAATTCATAGGTTCCTAATCAACATGTAGGAAGCTTTAAATGAAGCTTCCCGAATGATTCCATAATAACGGAGAAAGCTGTAGAACATTAATATCCAAATGCCTTGTATTTGAAAAGTTGTGATCAAATCATTGGGTAGAAAATGTGTAAAAGTAATTACTATAAATATAAAATACCTTTTGGTGTCGAGCTTGTTAGTATTTTAGTCTACACTGTATAGGGTATTACTGAATAAAAAACTATATTATAAGTGACTGCAAATGTTTGAATGGGGTATATGATGTAAATATAGAATCAACAGTCATCTGTTTGAACACCCCTGGTCAAGTGACATGTCCTCTACATTAACTTAAATATACCATTTTCTTACAAACTTTAGTCCATGATTTCTGTTTATTTACTGAGTTTAACATATTAGAGAAACAAACCATTTAAAAAGGTACCATTACTTTTGCACAGGCCACATTTTATGTTTTACTTGTTTTTAAAGTGTTAAATTCAGCAAATAAACATCAATTGTGCATTAAATGTAGAGGATATGTACCTTACTCTCCCTTACAGCAAAAAATAAATAAATAAAAAAAAGGTGCAAAGTATAAGTTTAGAGGTTAGTGTTTGGGTCAGACACCCATCAATTGAAAGTACCCTGTAAATGATGATTTTGTATATGTTAGCTTATTACTATCGCTATCAATACACAGTTTACACATTTCATAGTAAGTCCTTAAATATAAAACAATAGAGTCGTCAAAGCTTCTTCTGTGCACCACCACACTACAGTGGGATATCAAGTGCACACCAAAACCTGGTGCCACGTGGTGCTGCATCGGGACTGCCTGGCTCCATATGTGGAGGATGGCCCTAGTCCTCAGGGGCTCTAGAAAACTGAATTGGTGTTTTAAATAGTTTTTACTGTGAGACTGCAGTTTGAACTAATTCAGCAGAATGGTCCATATAGCAGTATCTAATAAAGACAAAACTTCTACTTCATAAGCAGGCTTTTTATCTGCTTATAAAGTAGAAGCTGCTAATGAAGCTGCTAGCAACCGGTTCAACGATTCAGTAGCGCACCATAACCTCAGTCTGCGCTTCACTGAAGTTTTCAGTGTTATGCGTTATGAGTCTATAAAAAATCTGTTTTGTCAATCGATGCAGAATCTTTCAAGAATCGCATTCAAAAATAAATTTTCCCACCTCTAATTATTATTTACCGTTGACTTTATTCACATCACAAGATAAAGACTGGTCAATACAAACTTTGACACCACTAAAGAGAATGTTGCAATGTATTTTGCATTCTTTTCACATTTTCATTACAAATCAGCATCAGCAATTTGAGTAAAAAGTAGAATCTCTGAATTTTTAACATTCAGTTCTAAAGTCATTAATATTTGGTACAGCATGTCCCCATTTTGCTTTTATGACAGCGTGCATTTAAGCTGGCACTGACTCATTCAGCAGAACCTTAAATGCATGTTCTTCATGTTATTTGTCATAACTTTAACACTTCTTCAAATCACAGACTTTCAGTATGGTTCCATGCTCACTGTAAGTTCCTCAGTGAAAGAGACATTCTGGTAAATTCCACATTACTACAGTAACAATACTAAGAACAGCTTCTAAGTGCTGAAATTCTTTTGAAGGCAAAAAGATGTTTTTTTTTTTTTTTCCATATTCAGCCCAGTGTTCTTGGAAGTTGTACTCAACTGTCAAACAGAAGCTTGATTTCCAAGAAGTGTGTGCGCTTGTGTGTTTGTCTATGTATGTGTGTGTGTTTTCTACTGAAGTACATATGCAGCTTAGCCTCAGGGACTCAAAACTTCCTCTTTACATGGCCTATCTGCTTGACCTTTTTCATCGTTAGTCATCTCTCTCCTGATCCAATTCACAAAGCAAACATCGGCCTGAATGCTAACAAGAAACGTCCCCATTACGCTCCTCTCCGCTCGGCACCACGGGGAGAAAATAATAAGGATGATGACGAAAGCCGGAGAGATAAATGAGCAGATGACAAATAGCTATAACAGAGTAATGAACAACTGCAAACCAAATGAAGGTGGTGAAATGGAAAAATAAATTAGAGAGAGAGCGAGTAATGAGCGTTTGTAGAGAGGTGTGAAAAGTGCAGAACTTTCAGACTCAACCTGCACGTGCCGGAACGAACAGTCGGCAGTTTTCATTTACAGCGGAGTCCGTGAGTGAGGGTCTTACCTCATGCGTGCAAGGAGATCAGTGTACGACGGCTGGATAGTGAAGTCCTCTTCAACACACAGATCCCTGCAAAACACACACACAAGCTTCATACTGCTGATCATATCTAATGATTTACCTCCTACTAAGGGTGGGCGATATGGCAAAAATGATGATATCACAATACTTGAAGACATTTCACGATACACAATAAGTAGCACAATATTTGGTCTGTCAAAAACTACAGGTACAATGATTTTTCTCGAACGTTTTACATACTGTTACAGTAAATCCAGTTCTAAAGGACTATTTACACTCTGTGATTAATCATACCGTTGTTTAGTGTTCTTGAAGTAGTGACAATATCCACAATAAGCTCAGTGAAGCACATTGTGACATAATTTATCACGATAACAAGCAAATAATAAAATATGATGTTGCCCAGCCCTACCACCTTCCACAGTAGAAAACCTTGTATCTCCATTTTTGTCGTTTTTCAGTTTTTGACATCATTTGAAAATGCCTGTTGGCCTTTACATTGTGTGTAAGTTTCATGAGGACTGGACCAAAAGAAATGGTCCAAAATGACTTAGAAAACATTCTGGCTCCATTGACTTACATTCAAGCAAAGTAGGTTTTTTCCTTCTCCTGTAAAGTTACCATTTTGGAGATACGAGGTTTTCTTCCAACGGCAGCGATATGCAGATGCATGTGGTATCTTCAAATGTGCTCTTTTGTCAAGAGACAGTTGTGCCTGCTATTTGCCAAAAAACTGGACAGTCAGACCTCAGAGGCTGGCCTTAGACAGGAGGTCACAACCTGACAAGCAAGGAACTCAAACAAGCTAGTCATTCTGAGATTCTGGACTGACAAATACTATCGATATATTGATATTCATCTAGATTTGACAAGTGCTCTTGGTAATTTCTTTATGTTTCGCTGTAACAGTAAAACAAGTAAGAGCTTTTAATAATATCGTGATTTTAAAAATGATGCTAAATAAATAAATAAATAGTGACCCATTTTTCCTATGACTTACCAATGTAAAAAAATCAAGTTCCTCTACAATATACCACATGAATGACTTTGTTTACATCTCAACTTTTATATTATGCAGACATTTTGGGAGGTGTTTAAAAAAAAACAAAAAACAGTACAATTCCTCTTGGACCCCTTAAAATCCCAGGCTTATTAGAATGTTTTCACATATAGTTATTTTTAAATGAACCGAACTGAGTTCTGTTAAAGTCAACCTGAAAGGGAACCAGCTGCAAATGACCTCAGTTCTCTTTGTGTTCATAAAGTAAATGAACTATAAAGAGAACTCAGTTTTCTTTCTGGTCCTCTGAGATCTCAGACCACAACTCCCCTTTTACACCACTCACGGTGTGCGCAGTGCTCGCAAAGTGGGCAGTGTTATGTGATAACACAATAAAATGACGAGGGCTCTCACACCTTATTGCTTTAACATGTCAGGACTGCTGTCTTATTGCAGGTCACAGACACTCCATTAATGATCCTGGGTGGTCTGTTTTTACCTGCTGAAGTGCCGCAGACTGTGGCTGTGTGTACGATAAGCCTCGAGGTCTTAACAATGCACAAATCAATCGACCCACAGAACGAACTACGCAACGAACCAAACTGAGACCACCTTGAGAGATGGTCTCAGTTTGCTTAGTTTTTGGGGCCGTTTAGAGGGTCTGAGTTCATTTGGCATGTTCACATATGCACAGAAAACTCACAATCAGTCCACTTCAGACACTGAAACGGGCCAAGCATGAAAACGCCCTAACATACCAAGGCTTATTATTCAGTAACTACAGGGGCTTTAATGCAAACTGGCTGAGATATTTTTAAGCGATGTAAGTGTGTAATAAAATTTTGGGCCCCAGCTATTTAAGGGGTTAAAACCCTGACAAACCATATTATTCGGCCCCCAAAACACAACCAGTGGATTTTCATCTCCCTAACATTAAAGCACTGGCTCTGCGAAACTTCAAATTTACACAGTTGACACCTACCTTACCTCAAATATCTTCAGCCAAGACATGATTAGTGTCTGGAGTTTGCTTATTTAGTTTTGCACTGAATCTACAAGGCTACTGTAGCTAGCAAATGATAATGGAAGCTTATACTCCAATTAATATACAAAAATCAAAGTACAAACTGTACGACTAAATCTTCTAGAGGTCTGCTACCCCAAATGGGCCTGGATAAAATATTAGCTTTTGGGCCAGGTTTGGGCCGGGTTTTCACATACAATATCTAGGGTTCGTTTTCTTATGAGTGAGTTTTAATGTACGGTGATGCACTGGTGACCTGTCCAGAGTGACCTGTCCAGGGTGTTTCCTGCCTTCTGCTCAACGACTGCTGGGATAGGCTCCAGCATCCCCCACGGCCCAGGAGAATAAAAGGCTTGGATAATGTATGTGTGTGTGTGTGTGTAGGTTTTAATGTAGTTGTTTTTTTAATTTGTACAAATATGCCCATGTAAATTTTATGTCCTTTTCAAGGTATGGTGTCTTGTTGAGGTGAGGGGGCTTGCGTGCATCAGAGCAGCAGAGAGCTATGCCGCCTGGAATTTGAACTCCTTTCAAGGTCTCCCATGGCAGAAAGGTCTTAGCAGAGGTGCCAGACTAAACCTACCCCCTTTATTGGGCAGAAGCGATATAGGACGACGTCATCGGCGTGTGATCACAAAGGTGACAGCGGCAAAGACATCAACTCAACTGTACAGAAGAAGGCAACGGTAAACCTCTTCCATACTTTACCAAGAATACCACATGGGTGCCAGAAGATGGGACTCTCAGGTCAGAAGGCACTCAACTTGTTACTGAGAAAGAGCTGAGGATTCCTTTGAGTACAATCAGTGTGTATAATGTGGCTAGATCAAAGCATTCAGGTCGTCTAGTTGCTGAAGTTGACAAGCAAGAAAAAAATTCAAAGCTGCAAAAACAAAATCACAGTTTGAATTTGGAATGTATAAAGTATGAAACATGGCAAGGTGGAAGTAGTGAAAATGAAAATGGATCATCTGCACATTAACATTCTAGGGATCAGGGAGCTAAAATGAACCAGATTAGGACACTTTGGCCCAATCCCATTTCACCCCTTGCCCCTACCACTTAGCCCTACCCCTCCGTTTTGTGCATAGGCGTAGGGTGTCCCGATTTCTGTTGAGATAGAGGGGTGGGGTGAAGTGTTAGGGCTTCATGGCCCTCCAAATGGAGGTTTTTCAGAAACGCTGTGTTATGAGAAAAAAGAAAAAACCAGCATGATGGCTGCACAAGTGACCAAAGAAACCCACACGTGTGAATATTTTCTCTGTTAAAAATTATGATAACCAAAATATCATCTTAGTTTAATGTTGTTTCAATGTATTATGTTTTTTTTCTTCATAACATGCATAAATAAATCGCTAGTAATATGCTGATGTCTCAGTAGCTAGCTAGCTAAATTTCCTGTTCCACGTTAAAAGGTGCAGCAGTTACATTTTGGTGCCTCACCATTCGAACAAGAAGCTGAACAGCTGACTGCAGCTTCATATCACCGAAAAATTAGCAAAGTCCAGCAGTGAGGTTGCTAAACCTTACCCTCCTCTGCTGTCACTGCAGACTGGCAGGGTCACCTACAGATCACCACTAGTTCCTTTTAATTTGAGGGTCCCATTTTATAGGGGAAGATTTCAACCACTACCCCTGTAACTCAGTTCCAAGGGGTTAGGGTGACCCTCGAAAATAAGGGGTAGGGGTAAAAATAAGAAATGGGATTGGGCCTTTCAATCAGGGGAACACACCATCCACTACTCTTTTAAAAAAGGCAGTTCTTCAAGGTTCCTTTAGTAAAGAAAATGGTTCCATGAACATTAAACCATAAACACGCAAAGAACCCTTTTCATGATTAAAAGGTTCTTTGCATCATGTAAGTGTTCTTCAGATTGATGGAGAACGTGCTGAAGAACCATTTCGAAAAGGGCTCTACATAGCACCCCGAAGGGTTCTTCTATTGTTACGATGTCAAGCATGTTACAAAAATTTCTATTCCATGTCTGAACAGGTAAATAAACACATTCCACCAATTTAGATTTTAGATTTAAATTCCACCCATTTATATTTTAGAGGGGCTCACTGATTGGTGATGTGGGAGCTCTTGCTGACAGAAAGAGGGGGAAAAAAATCAGAGCCATGAAAAACCCCAGAAAAACTATGCATGACAGCGGCTCAGCGACGGCTAAGAGCTACACTCACCACAGTACACGTCTGAGTTCAGCTTCCACTCTAACACTAGTCACTCTGCACTCTCTAAACAGGTGTTATTTTAGCATCAGTTAGCTGGTACCAAGCCTGTGCTCTGGTAGATTTAGCCTGCTAACTCAGCTAATGTTAGCTTAGCCACTAGACACTACAGTTCCAAACCGCACAGAATAGGTTTGATTTCTGTCACTTCAACACCGGTGACTCCACTTTTACTCTCTCAGATATTAGATTTTATCATCCACACTCCTTTCAGCAGAGCAGCAGGTAGTCAGAATCAAACCTGCACTGTGGCGTGTGGCACTGTTTGGGTCTAAGCTTACATTAAGGTGGAAGATCAGGCTACAGATCTAAACACCACAGAACAGGTTTAATTTGCTCTTCTGTCTCTTCAGAACCAGCTGCTCGACTTCACTACCTCGGGTTTTCATGATCTAAACTTGCGTCAGTGCTTTGGTTAGCCAGAATCAAACATGTTCTGTGGTGATACATCTGTTAGCATGCTAGCTAAGCTAATGCTAACCAGCTCCTCTATCCTAGTTAGCAGCACTGTTTAACATTTACCAATTGTCAGATCGATGCTTTGACATTTATTGAATGGTGGCTTGAAAATCGTGTCCTGTGTTCACTTATTTGGTGACCGTGTAAACTTTTGATCATTTTTAAATTTAAGATAGCACACTTTTACATCACTTACCACACGTTTGCCTCAATTCATGGTGAGCTGTTAAATAATCTTGTGCTTATGGATTTCTGACACTGAATGATGTAATGCTGACTTTAATATGGACCAAATAAAAACAGTAGTAGCCATCTTGACTTTTGTCTATACAATGTAAGCAAATCTATTTGAGATTCCATATCAGCTTGATGCAGTTTAAGGCAAGTGAATGATGATTTAGGTACACGGTTTGTATGAGGCTTTAGTGGTCATAAGCTTCTGTTATTTGATAACTACATTAGCTCTGGTGAACAAATTCAAAAAGCAAACGTTTTGGCTGATCACAGTTTTTCACCAAACTATCATGCTCCAAATACACGAGTAATTTGTGTTAATAACATCAATGTCAATCCTTTCCGTGTCCGGGCCGGGTGAGGTTTCCTGTGTTGAGCTAAATCACGCCGCAGGCTCCACTCCTGGTGGTACCGTTCTGTCAATTCCTTTAAGTTATAGCTTTGCAACCATACTCCCCCCCGGAACCGAAAGGCTCATGATTTCCCGCATGACGCCCAGCGGGTCATGGAAATAACGCCGCCAGATCATGGGCCGGCATAGTTTATGGTCGAAACTACGATGGTATCTGATCGTCTTCGAACCTCCGACTTTTGTTCTTGATTAAAGAAAACATTCTTGGCAAATGCTTTCACTTTCGTCCGTCTTGCTCCCAGCCGTCCCTCTTAATCATGGCCCTGATTAGGGAAACCCAACAAAAACAGTACGGGAGTCCTATTCCATTACAGCTAGCTCAGGTATTCAGGCATGAGGGTGGCCCCCTTTAAACACTCTATTTTTTTCCCAAGTAAAGGCTCCGGACCCCGACCAAGGGCAACCGGGGGGCGCCGGTAGGCAGGGTCTGGGACAGGCTATCCTCGTGGTGGACAGCAATATATTGTCTGTGAGATCAACAAGATTACAGTATAAAAATGCATCTCTGACCTGGTGTCAATACCCTCTGGCTCCAGCAGGTAGCAGCGCAGGCAGCTGTAGGAGCCCTGAGCCCCGCCTTTTTTCTTTGAAGCTCCGCCTTCCTCGTCTGAGTCACTTTCAGGAAGAGGTTTGATGATCTTCACAAATGATTCTGGAAATATGCCTATCCTATCTTTAACAGTGCCCTGAGAGAGAGAGAGAGAGAGAGAGAGAGAGAGAGAGAGAGAGAGAGAGAGAAACAGAGAGAGAGACAAACAGAGAGAGAGACTTGACTTTTGATGGTCCTTTATTGAACCAGCATTTTTTTTAAAACAGTCATCCGTCACAAAGTGTCATCTTAGGCTATATTGAAATAAATTAATTGATTAAATAAAAACAAGACAAACACTTTATAAATAGATAAAAACAGGAAAACAAATAAAACTCAGTCTGGCTCATCTGAGCTCAGGAGCGAAGCAGAGCTCACCCTCGCACACTGAGCACACGGCCCCACCACAGCACCACATCGCCTCAAAGGCCTCCACATCACACATGCTTTTATAATAATTAAAATCAATTAAAATCCTTGATCTGACCAGCCTAGAGAGAATCCTTATGGCCTCACAGTCAATACCATGCGCCACCTTGTTCTTACGACTGATATATATCGCCATTTTCGCCTGCCCAAGAATGAAGTTGATCAGTTGGCATTTGGATTTCTCTCTTCTGACGTATTTAAAACCAAGGATAAAAGTCTGGAGTGTAAAAGTCACATTAAGAGACCTAAAAACAGTCTTTAAAACTTCAAACAAAGAGCAAAGCCTAAAACAGTCCATAAAAGCATGAAACACAGTTTCTCTCTGAGGACAAAAAGGACACTGTGGTAAAATCTCAGGATTCAAAACAGAAATAAAAGCGTTGACTGAGACAATACCATGTAAAATCCTCCACTGCAGGTCAGCTACTTTTTTAGTCAATGGTGGTTTATACAGTGCTCTCCACTCCGGCTTCACATCATCACTCAGATTAAGAACATCACGCCATGGTGTGTCGGTTCTACTGTGCAGTCTTTTCTTATTCAGTACCTTCACACAGGCTCTGTACAGCAGCTTACCAGACACTGTCCCCAAGTTCATTCTAGACTCCCCCTCACACTCCAGAAGGGGGCCTTCACAGTCCTGTAGGTCCGGCGTGATAGTGATGTCCGGGAATGGGTCATGCTCTGTAGGACTGACCACCCCTGCACTGTAGTCCCTCACCTGCTCACGTTCCTCAGGAGAGAGAGCTGTCCTCCAGCCCTCGAGCAGCTGAGCCACAACTCGCAGAGATCTCATCCCCAGCCTCGCAGCCACGTCCTCCACCCGAGTGAGATCTGGTCCGGCGACGTCCACCAGCCGGCGGAGGGTTGTGACTCCCGATGACAACAAGACTCTAGTCAGTGCAGGGGTGATCGTGCCCTCCAAGTCCAGTCGTGTGCTGTTGAAAAGAGGCTCCTCCAACAGCCAGTGCAAAGCGGAGCCAGCCTGTTTATTCACATTAAAAAAGTCCCAGATTTTAAAAAGTCCTCGATAAAAAACAGGCAACCCAGCAATGTCCAGTGTTTTTGTGCTCATTAAAAACAATGCTCTGTCCAACCCCAGACCACCTACTGTGCGTAATATTGTGCATGATACCGCCCTCCAAACCAGCTCACTGGGACCAGCAAGAAGTCTCTGGATGAACTGGAGTCGGAAGGCAGCGGCCCTGCTAGCCAAGTGGACGAGTCCTTGCCCCCCTTCCTCTTTTGGCAGATGTAGAACTCCCTGCGGAATCCAGTGCAGTCGATCCCAGAAGAAGTCCACTAGCACGGCTTGCAGGTTTGCCAGCAGATTCGGTGGGGGGTCCACGCAGGCCAGTTTATGCCAGAGCGATGATGCAGCGAGGTTGTTGATAACAAGCACCCTTCCCCGATAGGACATCTGGGGGACTAACCATTTCCACTTACTGAGGCGTCCTTTAATCTTTTCAACCATGCCATCCCAGTTCTGTGCACTACAGATACTGTCCCCCAGATACACCCCCAGATATTTAAAACCACCCCTTCTCCACATCAACCCATCTGGAAGCGCGGGTTCCCCACCATCCCAATCACCAACTAAAACTGCTTCACTCTTGGTCCAGTTTACTTTTGCAGACGATAAAACCCTAAAATCATTTAAAATTCTATCTAAAACATCCACATCAGTCTGGGTACTTGCTATCACAACAAGGTCGTCTGCATATGCTGAGACACACAGTGGAGTAGAACAGCCAGGTATAAACAAACCGGAGATGCAGTCTCTCAGTTTGCACAACAGAGGTTCGATAGCTAGAGAGTACAGCATGCCAGACAGAGCACAGCCCTGCCTAATACCTCTGTGCACTTTAAAAGGAGCACATAAACCACCATTAACTTTGAGTACACTCTCAATGTCACTGTACAAAACCTTGATCATGGCTATAAAACCCGGGTTGAAACCAAAGTTCTCCAGAACTTTCCACAGATAGCCATGTTCAACCCGGTCAAATGCCTTTTCCTGATCCAAAAAAATAAGACCAGTCTTTAAGCCCAATAGTCTGGAGACTTCCAAAACATCACGAATTAGATATACATTGTCAAAAATTGACCTTCCAGGCACACAGTACGTCTGGTCAAGGTGAACCACCTGCTCCATCACCTTCCCCAGTCTCGAGGCTAACGTTTTTGAGAGCAGCTTGCAGTCAGTGCACAATAGAGAGACAGGGCGCCAGTTCTTCAGTTCAGCTAGGTCCCCCTTCTTGGGTAGCAGGGTTAGAACGGCCCTCCGACAGCTCAGCGGAAGCTTCCCTTCCCTTATGCTGTTCTGGAGGACATCCAGCACATCCTGCCCCAACACTGACCAAAACGCTTTGTAAAATTCAACAGGGAGACCATCAATACCTGGCGCCCGACCATTCTCCATGCCTTGAAGAGCCTCATACAGCTCCCCCAGAGAGATATCAGCATCCAGCACTGCAGCAGACTCTCGCGTGAGCTGGCTGAGGTCACAGAAGAATCCCTCCTCCACCTCTCGTGCCTCTGCCCACTCGCTCTCGTACAGCTTTGAGAAAAAGCTGATTGTCTGCTGCCGAATTTCAGAAGGCTCAGATAAGAGATCCCCTGATTCTGTACGGACAGCATGCATAAACCTTTTCTGTCCATTTCTGCGCTCGAGACCGAAGAAGAACTTTGAAGGAGCATCCATTTCCGACACGCGCTGGAAACGTGAGCGGACCAGCGCCCCCTGTGCTGTTATGCCTAAAAGGTCAGCCAATGCAGTCTTTTTTGTTTTCAGAGCTTCAATATGCCCCCGATTTCCTGTGGCCTCTGCTAAACCCTGGAGCGCCACTATTTCAGTCTCCAGAGCTTTGAGAGATCTGGCTATGTCCCTTGTGACATTGAGAGTGTACTGCTGACAGAATACTTTAATTTGTATTTTAGCTATGTCCCACCACTGCAGCAGAGAGCTAAAAGATGTTTTCATTGAGCTAAAAACATCCCAAAAAAAGTAAAAGACTCTCTAAAATTGGCATCCTCTAAAAGTGCAGTGTTAAAATGCCAGTATGCACTCTGCGGCTTAACGTTACGTTTCCTTATTGTGCACTGGACCATACAATGATCTGAAAAACCAACTGGGGAGATAAGACAGCGTGTAAAAGCAGAAAGTTGATACCTAAAACCATAAAATCGATCCAGCCTTGCCAATGAGAGTGTATTATCTCTTGAATGTGCCCAGGTATACTGTCTCTGCCCTCCATGGAAGTTCCTCCAGACATCACACAAGTCATGGGCCTCCAGCATCTCACACAATCTCTTACGGGACGCAGCATGCGGTTCCATGTGGTTCCTGTCCATGCTGTCTGCTGTACAGTTAAAATCCCCACCCAGTATTAAAAACTCATCAGAACCACAACCTGCAATTACGGTGTCCAGAGTGTCCAAAAAGGACATCCTGTCCATCCCCCCAGTTGGGGCATAAACACAAATAAAAACAAAAACTGTGTTCTCAAAACACGCTGTCACTTTTAAAAGTCTGCCATTTAAAATTTCATCCACTGAATAAGAACAAGGAGTAAAACTCTGTGATAAAAGAACAGCCACCCCACCACTGGAAGAAGAGTTATGACTTAAAAAGGCAAGCCCCTCCCACTCTTTAGCCCAGTCTGCCACGTTACTGACATCACTATGCGTTTCCTGTACAAATATTACATCAAGTCTCTTCTGCTTCACCAACTCATATAGCTTTGCTCTTTTTCCACAGTCTCTCGCCCCATTAATGTTCAGACTCGCCACTCTGACATCACCCATTAAAAAATAAAATAGATAAAAAACACTAAAAACAGAGGCCATTCTGAACCAGGGAGGGCAGGAAGTGTCAGATCTCATCCTCAGTGCTCACTTTATTAAGTCTGGTCAGGATCTTCTTCAGCCTGTAGACTTCTAAAGCGGTGAAGGACCCTTCCCTCCTAAAATGCCTGACGTCATGGATAAACTGTGAACTATTTGGGAAATGCTCCTCAACACGGACGCCCTTTTGGCCTTTAGTGACCCGCAAGAACTTTCTTATATCGTCAACTTTATAGAGCACAGCCATGTTCTCTTCCTGCGAGCACACCGACCAGCCCGAGTCAGACAGAGAGCCTTCGCTCTCAGACTCCACTTCATTCACCGCACTGCTGTCTGTTTTGGCCTGTTTAGTGCCCTTCCCTCGGTTCCGCTTCTTTCTTTTATTAGGAACTTTAAAAACAGTCTCCACTTCCATTTCCACCTCCACTGCTGTACCAGCTAGACTGCTCTCAGTACCGCTGTCCCTTACCTGGTTATCTTGCTCCCCCGGGTCAGGAATCCCCCGCTCCTGCTCCTCACCACCAGGCTCGTCCACAGCGGGCTCCTCCGCGGTTAGCGCCGCCGGGAAAGGCTCGTCCGCGGCCGGCGCAACCCCAGCAGACATTTCCGAGGCCGGCACGGCCGCAGCCGGCTCTTCCCCCGCAGGCGCCGCAGCCGCCGGGTCCCGCGCAGCCGGCCGAGCAGCAGCCGCAGGGGGGACGGCCACCGCGGGCTCAGCCGCGGCAGGCCCCGGCCGCTCCGCGCTCCCGGCATCATTAGCGTTAGCGCTGAGCTTTTCAGGGCAGGCTCGGACGAGATGTCCGGTCAGGCCGCACCTGAAGCACTTCATGTTGGTGTCAGACGACACAAACACCGTGTACTCAAACCCCTCGACTCTGAACTTCAGCACCAGGTCCAGCTCGTCCTCACCGTCTCTCAGCACCATGAAAACCAACCTCCTGAACGACACCAGGTGCTTCACCAGGGGCGATTTACAGCCGAGGGGGATCTTTTTAATGGGGGAGACAAGTTTTCCAAACCGGGACAGCTCCTGAGCGATCAGCTCGTCAGAGATAAACGGGGGGACGTTGGACAGAATAATCTTTTTGGACGGAGTACTGAGGGGCAGAACAGACACGAACTGATCACTAATTACGAGTCCACTCTGCACCAGTTCATTAGCTTTGTCCACAGTGGACAGGAACATCACCACAGCGCTGTTCATGCGCGAAGCAGACACAACATTATTGTACCCAACGACGCTCCCCGCCGCCAAACAGCACTCCTCCACACTCGCGCGGCACTCCACCTTTACACCATGCCGGCGAGACAGGCTCTCATACAGCCTGGGGCTTTGGGACGCCATGCTCCCAGCAAAACGCCGGTAACTGACGCCCCGCACACACCCCACCACACCTCACTCACACACACACACTCACACACAAACTCACTCAAACAAACTACAGATACAGACTGACAACGACGTAACAACAGAGAAAAAAGTTTGGCAAAACGCCAACCACTCGCACTCACGCTCACCGCGCTCCGCTCACTCTACCGCTCACACCCGCGCATGCGCAGAGAGAGAGAGAGAGAGAGAGAGAGAGAGAGAGAGAGACATACAGAACGTGTATGCTGTTTGTAGTATAAAACAGTAAATATTCAGGATATGTTGACTAAATGTACTTTGCCACTGACATCTACTGGTCACATACAGTTACTGCACGCTTTCTCTCTTAACATTCTTTTTCTTCCTTTGGTGTCTTCTGCCTTGTTCTAAGCCTCTCTTCTCTCTCTATGGTACTCTAGACTCTCTGTCCTTCAATCACTCTCTTCTGCTCTCTCTGCGGAGGCCATGCCTGATGAGTCAGCACATTCGAGTCTCAAAGAGACGCTTGGACACAGCTGGACTATAGTAACACCTATCTGAGAATAGAATACACACCGAATTAATATAACACATGTATAACACTATGCTGTCTAAATCTGGCTTCTGTTCAAAAGTCAATAATGCTTCCATTTCACTATTACACACTCCTGAATTTCACCACGTCTTAAATGGCAGATTTCGATGGATTAGGGGAGATTTTAGGAGACACTAGGAGGTTTTGAGGAGGAATTAGGAAGGATTTGGGGGAAATATTAGACATGATTTAGAAAGTTATTAGCAGTGGTTTTGGGGATGGATTTTAGAGCAGGTTATGGGCAGGTACTAGAGAAGGTTTGAGGAGGTAGTAGGAGAGGCTTTGGGGCGGTACTGGAGAGGTTCTGATGAGGTCTTTAGGAACACACTGGAGTAGTATTAGGGATTTACTTGAGGAGGTATTGGCATGGTTTCATGGTTGTATTAGAGAAGATTTTGATTAGGTATTAAGGTACATTTTGGGTGTTACCGGTGAAAGTGTTGAGGGGGTATTAGGTGAGATTTTTAGAGAGGTGTTACAAGGTTTTTGGGGAGGTATCAGAAGAGGTTTAGTAGAGGTGTAAGGAGAGGTTTTGGGGTGGTTTTAGAGGAAGTTTTGGGACGGTATTAGAGAATATTTTAAGGGGAGAGTTTGGGGAGGTATTTGGGGTGGTTTTGGGGACAAATTTGGGATGTTTATTGGCGAAGTATTGGGGGGTCTGGGCAGAACTGGGGAGATTTGGGGGGGTATTAAGGAAGGTTTTAGGGAGATATTTGTAAAGACTGTAAGGGAAGGTTTTAAGGAGGTATTGGGGAGATTTTGGGGAGGTAATTGGGGTGGTTTTGGGGATGAATTTGGGGTGTTTATTGGGGATGTATTGGGGGGTTTGGGCAGAACTGGGGAGGTTTGAGGAAGTATTAAGGAAGGTTTTAAGGAGGTATTTGGGAAGATTTTGAGAAAGTATTGGGGAGGTTTTGGAGCAGTATTAGAGGATGCTTCAGGGAGGTATAAGGAAAGGTTTTACTGAGGTATTAGAGGATGTTCTGGGGAGGTATTAGGGAAGATTAAAAGGAGATATTAAGGCAAGTTTTGGGGAGGAATTAGAGGAAGTTATGGGGAGGTATTAGGGAGATTGTGGTCAGGTACTGTGGAGGTTTGGGGAGGTACTAGGAGGTAGCCATTCTGTTCTTATACACTAACATTTACCATCAAAATCATCCATCTCTCTCTCTGCCTCTTTATTTCTACGTTTCTGTCTCCCACTCTCTTCAGGCTCCATTTTCATTTTGAATTCGGTGTTACTGACTAGCTGCAGTATAAATAAAAAATACATGACTATAAGTGGATCTCCCATAGCTCAGAGTATCAGTGTGTGTAGCAGATATGCCCACTTCAGACGCTTCACTCCTCTACACACTCCCACACCAAACACCTGCACACTCATCCTCCCCCTACATTCCTCTACGTTCCTCCATCGCCTGTCCATCTCTAGCCTAATCTCCCCATAACTTCTTTCCTCCAGTTATCAATCTCCCTCAGAGGTGTAATCCCACCTGCTGGCCACACATACATGTCTATTGCTGCAACAACTTCTCTCTCCCCTTTCTCTGTCTCTCTCTGTTTCCCTTAGGTGTCTTACCTATTGTGCATCTCTGCACTTCTCTTTTATCTTCACTCTTTCCTCTCTCGTTTTCACACATTAAGGAACACTAGGGGTGCGAGTCTTATGTCAATGAGTTGCAAGGCAAAGTTGGGAATCTCTGGGGTGCGAGTCGGAGTCGAGTGTCAAGTCTCTGGGCCGTGAGTCTGAGTCAAGTCTCAATTTTCTTGGGTCAAATCTTAAGACTCTTAGGTGTGAGTCCGAATCGAATTTCGAGTTTCTGGGGTTTGAGCCCGAGTTGAGTCTCCAGTCTCCGGGGTGCGAGTCTAAGTCAAGTGTCTGGGGTTTGAGTCCGAGTCAAATCTCCAGTCTCTGGGGTGCGAGTCCAAGTAGAGTCTCAAATCCCTGGGGTGCAAGTACGAGTCGGATCTCAAGTCTCTGGGGTGTGAGTCCGAGTCAAGTGTCAAGTTTCTAGGTCAAATCATGAGTCTCTGAGGTGTGAGTCTGAATCCAATCTCGAGTTTCTGGAATCAAGTCTCCAGTCTCTGGGGTGCAAGTCTAAGTCAATTCTCAGGGTTTGAGCATGAGTCGAGTCTCCCATCTCTGGGGTGCAAGTTTAAGTCAAGTCCATTTAGTGCGAGCATGAGTCGAGTCTCCCGTCTCTGGGGTGCAAGTTTAAGTCAAGTCCATTTAGTGCGAGCCTGAGTCAGGTCTCAGGTCCTCTGGTGCAAGTCTAAGTCAGGTCTCAAGTCTCTGGGGTGCAAGTCTCAGTCAAGCGACAAGTCTCTGAACAGGGAGTCCGAATCAAGTCTAGAGTCTCTGGGGTGCGAGTCCGAGTCGAGTCTCAAGTGTCTGGGGTGCAAGTCCAAGTCAAATATCAAGACTCTAAAGAACGAGTCTGATTCAAGTCTAGAGTCTCTAAGCTGCGAGTCCGTGTCTTGAGCCTTTGGCGTTGAGTCTGTTCCGAGTGGAGTCTCAAGTCTCTGAGGTCTAATTTAAAGTCTGAGTCAAGTCATGAGTCACTTACGTGACTCGAGTGTGTCTCGAGTCCAAGTCGCTCTCAACATTTGGCCTCACAACATTACATTAGATTATGATTCCTAAGGAAATTAATGCAGTTTGACAAATTTCTTATGCTATGATGATTCAAAATCATTGTTAAAGTTACAATGGACACAATAACCATGCGACTCAATAAAGTATTTACACACTAGTGGAAAGCTTTTTTGTTTTATTGAATTTCTATATTTGAAAATAGCTTCATCTTGGCCAAAAATGTGTGCATACTTTAATGAACACTTATTATAATTAATGGTAACATTCCCAAATGAGTGAGTGAGTGAATCTGCAGTTGAAGTGCCGCTTTCAGTCCAATGCAATACAATGCACTGATGTATTTTTACACTCAATCACACACACATACACACACAAACACACACTCCCTTTTCCAGCCTTCCCACAAACCTTTCCTCCCCTCCCTCTCTCCATCCCTCTCTCTCTCCTTCAGCTCACCTCTAGCCAGTCAGCGTTCACTCGCCGCAGGAGGAAGATCACGTCTCCAGCCTTCAGACTCAGCTCCAGCTTCCCGCTCCCGTTGAAGTCAAACACCGCCTGAAACACACACACACACACACACTTGTATTTACACACACACAAGGACAGAACGAGAACGGCACACATCCAGACTGTGAAACCGCACAAGGTAGGATACGGCGATTTTTCTAACTTTTTGATGAGTGAGTGTCCGAGTGAATTAAAGAGTGAGTGAGAAAGTGAGTGATGTAACTGTGAATGAGTGAATGCGAATGACATATGAGTGAAATGTATAAAAAACAGAGACAGTGGCTGAAAACACTAAAAGTGAGACTGAGACAAGGTGGACGGAGAGAAATCGAGAGAACGAGGGAGGTAAAGAGACTTCGCTGTACTGTTGATATCAAACGGCTCATATCAAACCCAAAATCTCTCCCTCTGCCCTGAGTGAACTCTTGCAGCCAACTTTATGCAACATGCTGTGTGTGCTTATAAAAATAGCAGCTCTGTTACGCTCAGAGCCAAAAAAGAATAAATAAGAAAAAAGTCCAGAGAGGAGAGAGGACAGAGGAAGAGACAGGAAGAAGATGCAACTAAGAGAAAAAAAGGGAAATAAAATGAAGAGATGAGAAAACTACGATAGCTTGTTCTGATCATTTACGTGACGCACAGTGAGGAGAGTGCGTGTCCTGTAATGTTCACTGACACACTGGAATGGAATGTGAATTAACATCATTGCAGAGAAGACAGAGAACAGAGTGAGCATCTCTGAGGAAAAGAACATCAGTCAGTGAGTGATTCTGTCAGGGAATGAGCGAGGGAGTGATGGAGAGATGGGGTGAGTGAGTGAATGAATGAGAGAATGAGCGACTGAGTGAATGAATGAGGGAGTGAGAGTGACTGAGTGACAATTAAGGAGTGAGTGAGTGAATGAGTGAGTGAAGGTAGGAATGGGAACGAGTAAGTGAGAGTGATTGAGAATGAGTGAGTGAGTGAGTGAGTGAGGGAAGGAATAGGAATGAGTGGGAGTGAATGAATGAGTGAGCAAGCAAGTGATGGAAGGAATGGGAATGAATGAGTGAGGGAGTCAGTGAGTGAGTGAGTGAGAGTGAATGAGTGACCGAATGAATGAATGAACTCGGTCTAAGCAGTGAGTGAGTGAGCAAGTGAGAAAAGGAGTAAGAATGAATGAGTGAGTGAGCGAGTGAGGGAAGGAATGGGATTGTGTGAGAGTGTATGAGAATGAATGAGTGAGTGAGTCAGTGAGTGAGAGAGTGAATGAGTGACAGAATGAATGAGTGAACTTGGTCTATGCAGTCAGTGAGTGAATGATTGAAGGAGTAAGAATTAATGAGTGAGTGAGCAAGTGATGGAAGGCATGGGAATGATAGAGTGAATGAGAATGAACAAGTGTGTGAGTCAGTCTGTGAATGAGTGAGTAAAATGAATGAGTGATCTGAGTATAAGCAGTAAGTGAGTGAGTGAGGGAAGGAAGGAAGGAATGAGAATAACGAGTGAGTGAGGAAGTGAGAGTGAATTAGAGGCTGAATGAGTGAGTGATGGAGATCGTGAGTGAATGAGTGAGGCAGTGAGTGAATGAGTAAGCTAGAAAAAGAGTAAGAGAGTGAGATATTGCGGGAGTTAATGAGTGAGAGCATGAATGAGTGAATAAGTGAGGGAGTGACAGAGGGAGTGAGTGAATGAGTGTGTGAATGAATAAGTAAGAGTAAATGAGTGAGTGAGTGAATGGGTTAGTGAGCAAGTGAATGAGTGAGTGCATGAGCTATTGAGTAAGTGAGTGAATGAGTGAGTGAGGGAGGGAGTGAGTGAGTGAGTGAGTGAGTCAGTGAGTGAGTGAATGAGCAGGGGCATGAGTTGAACAAAGGAGTAAGTCAGGTACCGAATGACTGAGTGAGTAAATGAGTGAGTGCATGAGTGATTGAGTAAGTGAGAGAATGAGTGAGTGAGGGAGGTAGTGAATGAGTGAGTGAGTGAGTGAGTGAGTCAGTGAGTGAGTGAATGAGCAGATGCATAAGTTGCACAAAGGAGTAAGTCAGGTACCGAATGACTGAGTGAGTAAGTGAGTAAGTGAATTGGTTAGTGAGTGAGTGAGTGAATGAGTGAGTGAGTCAGTGACTGAGTGAGTGAGTCAGTGACTGAGTGAATGAGCAGGTGCACGTGTTGAACAAAGGAGTAAGTCAGGTACCCGAATAACCGAGTGAGTAAGTGAGTGAGTGAATGAGTGAATGCATGAGTGATTGAGTAAGTGAGTGAATGAGTGAGTGACGGAGGTAGTGAATGAGTGAGTGACTGACTAGGTGAGTCAGGAAGTGAGTGAATGAGCAGGTGCATGAGTTGAGTAAGTCATGTACCGAATGACTGAGTAAGTGAGTGAGTGAGGGAGTGAATGAGTGAATCTGATAAAAGGACTGTACTGTGGTCAGAGAAAGCTGTGAGCACAGCACGGGTAAAGCGGTAAAAGCGCAGTGTGAGAGAAGAGAGCGAAAGCGTTGCAGAGCTGAAGTAAAGCCCTTTGTGCGGTTTTGTTTTGCTGGAGTGGGAGTGAGTAGGTGAGACGCTGTTAGATGCTATCAGCTAATTATGTGTTGGCAATTAAACTGTAGTGTGTGTGTGTGTGTGTTTAGGCCCGTGGGCAGTTCTTGTACGGAGACTCAGTGACGGTGCTGTTAAAAGCTTGCGCTGCGTTCATTAAGGTGAGAGCTCACAAAACAAACGTCCACTCTACAGGCCACAGATCCATTAGCCTTTCACTGCAGCTCCAAAAACTCCATCCCTGCTCCTGCTTCAAATAAAGCTCCTTTCACACCACACAGTGTTTGCCAGGATTTCATTTTCCTTGTGAGCTCCCCAACGTCCCAAACACATCGCTGCAATATCGGTGGAGGCGTTTGGATATTTTAAAGGAGCCACATCTCACCGATGTTGTTCAGGCCACACCGTGTCAAAGGTGTTGCACTATATGGAGTGTCTATTTTTTCCACTCAAGAATAACCAGTTATATCTGCACTTAAAGCTGCACTATGTAATTTTTTTATTGCCAAAATTGAAAGAAACAGCATTACTTTTTCCTGACAGGAGGAAAAAACTGGCTAAAATTGAGTGTGAGCTGCTTCGAATCACCCTGTAAAGCCTGAAATAATCATTTTAAAGTCGGGTTGGAGTTTTTCAGACCACGTCATACATCTTTGTGTATTAATGTCACGAGCACAGCATCAAAACACAGGTCCAACTTGATGTGTAGGACAAATGCAAACATTATACTGATGAAGATACAATTGCAGTAGTAGATCATTCTCTCACATCCTCTGAATCCTTTGAATTCTCTTTCAATCATCAGATTCATCCACTCGGGGAAGGGGTCCAAAGCGTTCATTTGCGTGCAATTACACATTTCCACCAGAGAGGTCTCCAAACCCCCAAATCTTACATACTGCAGCTTTGTAGCTACTAACTACAGTATGCACCGATCTGCTTTAAAGTGACATTTTTTATAAAATTGTACAATTTTCTGTACAAGTAAGACATTTTTTCCCAAAGTTTGGTTCTCTAGTTTTGGACCGGAGCTACACAGTAAATGTAGCTGACAAGTAATAGAAGCTTACAGCCACTACTTAGCATCATGCAAATTGTGGTAGTTATAGTAATTTCTAATACGACTTGCTTATGTGGTTTAGAATAATTACAGACGAAAATGTTATACAGGGTCAGAAACCATATAAGCAAGTCTGTTTGCACAATGCTAACTGGTGCTGTATATGGTTTTGGTTATTTCTCGGCTACATTGGCCTTTTAGCTCTAGTGCAAAACTAAAGAGGCAAAATTCAGACACTAGATGACCAAATACATGTATTAGATGACGGAATACATGTGGGGTAACGGGCTATACAGCGCTACGTTTGAATTTATATAGTCTTACATTTTATAATAATAGTGAAGACATCAAAACCACTACCTACCTATTATCAAGGACTCACAGTCTACTAATTATCTTTTAACAAGGCGCACACAGTCATTTAAAATAATATAATGTTGTGGTTCATTTTCCAAGTGTACAAAGTTCTAAAGGAAAACGAAACGCTGGGAGCCTTAAACTGTATTGGTGATGAAAAGAAATTCATACACAGTCATTTATCTTAGAAACAAATTCAAGCATTTAACATTTAGGCCTGTAGAACAAAATGTTTTTAAGATAACGAAGGATATTAGAAGTCTTCTACCTGACCCAAACCCATCAGAGCCATAGTCTTTGGGCCAGGTTTGGGCCGATGTTTCACGCAGTACATCGGGCTCAGGTTAGTTTTCTAATGAGTGACTTTTATGTAGTCGTTTTTACTGGAAGGAATACGTCTAAATGCTGCGTATTTCCATGCATTTTCTCTCTCGCTCTGTTCACCATGGATAGAATAAAAAAGAAAGCTTGTGGAAAGTGGAACTGTTTCAAATTCAGAAATAATCAGGCTTCACTGTGGGAACATCATGACTTGGTCTTTACATCACATAGAAGCACATGGGTCACATACAGTGTAGAGTGAGTGTTATGAAGAGCACATTATCTGTTCAGAAACACGGTAACACTTTACTGTAGGGTGCTGTTCATAAGGCAACATGACACCTACATAAGCTAGTCATGACAACTGACATAACCCTACATAACTGTTTATAAATGCTTGTTCCAATAAGCGCCATTATTTATAAAGGTTACATTTGCCAATTTTGATCAAAGTCAGCTAAAGTAGCCTTTATGACAGATGAAGCCTGTTGTAATAAGCATTTATAAACAGTTATGTAGGGTTATGTCAGTTGTAATGACAAGCTTAGGTAGGTGTCATGTAGCCTTATGAACAGCACCCTACAGTAAAGTGTTACCAGAAACACATTTACGGTGGACGCAGCCAGAGGGCGCCCTCGCACTAGTAAGTCAGTGCTTTCAGATAAGAGCGTAGAGTTTTTGTTCGTTATCTGTCGATTAGCACAAGCTTTTAGTGACAAAGCAAAGTGGTTTTCGAGGTAAAACTGCCTGCGGTTATCCGTCTTAGCGCATGTGCGGGTTTGTGTTTCAGACTTAGTCGGGCCTGGTTCAAGCTTCAGCTTCAAGCCTGTGCAGACCTCTAGACATATGAAGACATATGTTCAATGGTGTGTACAAAC